ATTTTTATTATTTATAAGAGACTGCTATATGACAATATTACAAATCTAAAAACTAATATACATCTCTTTTTGTTAAGAAGAGTCTAATATAAGACACAACAAAAGTAGTTCCGACCATTCTAGTATTGTTCTATAAACTCACCTAAGCGCTAGTAAAATATAATATTAAAATCTAAACTTAATACTTAGACAGGTGTCTAGTATAAACTAGAAAAGATTAGAAATATCCAAATATATGAAGGTGCTGCAGTCAAGTATACAGATTGGCTTTCAAGTCATGAATGGGATTTGGCATGCTTGCTTTCCAAAGTTGGCTTGATGTATGGCAGACGGAGAAGTGAAAAAGAAGAGATTTGGTTTTTTTTTATACATAAAAGTGCTACAGCCACTTTTCACAGATTGGTCTTCAAGTCATATAAAGAGTTTGATATATTTATTTTCCAAGTGTGATAGAAGTGTCCAATGGATAGAGTTGAATTGGAGTTTCTTAAAAACATTATTATTTAACCATACATATGAACCTACATTGTCGAAGGGTGATCAAGGAGCTTTTGTTATCGATATTAGCTTTGTTTGTATAGTTCTGAAAATTGGAATTGAATAGAATCGAACAAAATTACATGAGATTCAGAATACTATTAAAAATGATGGTGGGATATACTTTACCTATTAAATTTAATATAAACTTGAGAATTAAATACAGAATCGAAGAGAATCGTTAGGATTCTTATCTGTTTGCAAGGGTAACTAGAATTCCTGGTCATCATGTGTTATCTTACTAGGTATTTCAGATACTAACATATTATTTGTAGAAATCTACACTAACATTGGCTGCCATATTACTGGATACAGTGAGATGTAACTCCCTAGGAGTTCATATGACAATAGTTACTGTATATAGTGAATTCTTAGATGTATTTAGTCTAACTATCAACAAGTAAACAATGTCGAATATGGTAATAATAACCATATTGATCTTTTGGAGGGTAAACCATCTGTCCTTTTTCTAAAAAATTATGGAAGCGAGAAACTTCTTAAGGTTCACAACATAAAAGAAGTTATTACTTCTTAATATGGTTCTTGAGAGAATAGAGTCAATTGGTCAGAGAGGTGATAAGATGAAAAGCAGCAATTTATAAGAGAAAGAGAGGCCTAGAGAAGAAAAACTTCATAAGGAAAAAAAAACACAACTTTGACAGTGAGAGAAAAAAAAAGAAAAGGAAAGGAGTATATATAAAAAAAAAGTTTGTAGAAAAGAAGGGAGAAATAAAGGAAGAGGGAAGAAAAAAGTAATAGAAAAAGAAAATAGTATTAGGAGAAGAGGAAAAGCGAAGAAAAAAGAAAACAACTTAAAAATTTCCTAAAAAGAAAAATTTTAAACATAGAGAAGAGAGTGAGAAAGAGTTTTTTTTTTTAATAATGAATAATTGTATTTTAATCTTTTAATGATTTCTGTAAAATCAATTTAAAATTAAAATATTTTTATCATATATTATTATATAAATAATAATTATTTAATTTTTAATTTTAAATGTTTTATATTTATATATCATTTAAAATATTAAGTTTTTATTATCAATTGGTTATTAATATATATAATAAAGTTATTACTTGTATTAATATTAAAAATGAATCTATAAAATGTTAAAATAAAAAAAGTTTTTTTATTTTCTTAAAATACAGTATATATATAGTATATAACAATAGTTTAAGATTATCATCAATTAGAAAAAATTACATTGATGGTTTTTAAATATAATTTTTATACAATTTAATAAAATCATATGAAATTTTAATATAATATATTTTAGGATTTATTAAAAAATTTAGTATAATGTTTATTTATATTTATTGATTTAAATAATAATTCAAACCAATCAAATAATTAACAAGCAAAAAGTTTTGCAATATTGTATATTTATTTATTTATTCTTTTATTAAGGATATTTAACATTTCAAGAAAATCTAACAATAAATTAGAATCATTTATATATTATATTTTTAGAAATTTTCGATAAATTTATTTTATGATTAAATAAGTACATGCGGTATTGGAGTTTTGCAATATGATTTCTTTAATGAGTTTTTCAAATATAGGGTATATACAATCGGTTATTATTATTATGATTAATTTTTTTAAAAAAGTATCATCATGAATTAAACATACAGTAATTCTAATGACAATGATTTTTTAAAAACCGCAATCACGATATCATGAAATTTCCGTAAAGGCACTTGAAACCTACAGTATATGCAGGCAGGATATTTTGCATCATGCGGCTGCAGATTGCAAAATGGAATTACCCGCATCTCAGCATTATTTGATGTATTTGGGGAAATATGAAAAAATTAGGTATGCAATTTACCCCCGGACAAGGTTATACGTAAATTAATGATTATTTTAAAACGTACGACAAATTCATTATAAAAGTATTAAAGCCATCATAAAACAAATAATTTTTTATTGATTACTGCAGAACGAGAATAACATGAAAGGTTTTATTTATAGATGGCAGATTGGCGAATATGATAAATTTAGAAGTGCTGCAATCGTCTTTTGCCAACACCTAAAAAAAAATCACTAGTTTGTGTGAGCAGAAAAAAACATTAATAAGTAAATGGGATTATAATGATATCGAGTAAAGAGATAAGCATAATACCACGAAAAAGGAATCTTACTTGAAAATGATTGTAGTATTTTAATAGTGCACATTGGCATTCAAATGGTTTGTGATTGATCAGTTGATGAAATACAGTATACGTACGTACTGCACATTTTATCAGCATACGTTATTTTCTTTGTATTGTATGGCGACGATTCATTATTACTATAAGTGGCAACTTAACAATGATCACGGATAGGTTTATTTATAGACAGAGGAATTGAACGGAAAACGCCCGTATTTCCTTCTTTCTTTCATTCGGCTTCCTTATTCCTGATATTCTAAAAATACACGAGATTCACGCCAAGAATCAACACAGAAGCAGGGACAACGAATACATTTTTTTTTGGTGTATTTTGACTCCTACTATGATAATCAACTACCTCGCTACGGCAATCGTTAACATTGTCAATTGATGAGAAAATTAAATACAGTGATCATACGAGAATTTATCGTAAGTGATATGTAAACTAATGTTACATATGCACCTACCCTTTAATTAAGGACGACAATAATTTTAAGGTTTAATAGGGAAAAACACAATTAATTAATAGTCATGTTACGCATAAGATACCATTTACCAAACATGAACGCATTATTCGAATTTTAAGAATCAATCTCTGCTTACGAATGTACATAACTTTATCAAAATTTGCGATTGTCTATACATACATATTATTGTGTAGGTGTGGTTGTTAAATTTTATTCACCGTGCGTATTCAGGGGATAATTGTATGACGTATTCCAATGTTACGATCGCTAACCCGTCCTGTAGTACTACCATGCACAGGTGCGTAAGACGACAAGGAGGTTTCTTTGGTCACGTACATACGTAATCTAACAGTAAAGGTGTTCGTAGATGCAATCTGTTAACTGACCTTCGAGAAACAAAGGACAGACGCCACCTTATGCAGAAAGCCTTGTGACATATATGGAATTCCATGTGATGGTGATACGTACCGTGGTCAGTTATGTCGTGCAATACCACCTCACCTCACCTACGTACCCGGGATGACGCATACAGTATTTTCATGGTATTCTTTCTTTTTTAAGGAATCGAATGGTACTTTAACGCTTTAATATTCCAATGTGCGGAGAGGAAGGTTCAATGAAACTATGGAACGGGGAAGAAATAAATAATCCTGAGGTGCGTGTTACGATTTAACTTTTTAATATGCGAGAAATACGCACCGTGCATTAGTACAATGCGCACAATGCGACACTAAAAATGTCGCTAAATAATACTTGTCGTGTAACATGTACCTACGGTGTCACATTCCAAATATACACAATCAATTGAGTGTACCAAATTAGCAATTCCCAAAATGTAACTGATTATACGTGACGGATTCGTTGATTCGAGAAGAGGAATTGCATTGTACAAAAAAAGTCGAGTGTGTTCCTGGTGAAAAGATGAAAACGACCGTAATAACAATGGTCACATTGATCCCGGAATCCACCAAATTTTTATGAATTGTGACGTTACTCGATGCACCTCAATTTGTGTAACGTATAGAAAATAAACAATCGTATAACATTCACACATAACAATCTTAGCAATCTTCTCATCATTTGTTTTTTTTAAGATGTATCACAAATAAATAGGTCATTATGTTTATTTAAGTACTGAACGTCATTGTGTCGGTTGATTTATTTCGGTGCGTACCTCAAGTACGTACGTAGATACTGCTATCCTGACCTTTTAAACTCGTGCTCTTCTCTTCCCTCTTCATAATTACCAATACTTTTTAATTCTTCTTTGACTAGAACATCGAAAAAAAAAAAAGATATATAGATAGATAGAGAGAGAGAGAGAGAGAGCGAGAACGAGTCATATGAATATATTCGTATAGAAGTATAAAAAAAATAATAAATCTTTAGAAAACCAATCTCATTTGGAAAACTACTGAGTAGTTCTCTCAAATTTTTTGTCGGCTAGATTGATTTTTTTTCTGCGAAATTTTCATACAAATTCTTTGTCTCATCTTCGCTACTTACTATAAATATAAATATTAAGTCATTTCGTAAATTCTATCTCAACACTCTAACCATTAATATCTACATTCAAACTGTGCTGTTTCGACCCGGTATTTCTTATTTTGATTTTGATTATACATAAACAATCAAAGTTATTTTTATCTTTTTTTTTTTTTTTTTTTTTATTCCTTTATTATTATCACCAAACAACTGACTGCCGAGCAAATTTACCCTTTCAATGATTATCCTTCAAATATAAAAATATACGTATCCCCGATATTGCATTATTCATTAGTCTATGATAATTAATTGCGTAGGAAAACCATTTTTGAAATTTCACATTGAACGCCACAGGAAAAGATGAGCACTCTCAATAAATCTGAAAGTAAGAACAGTAGCAGGAGCGGAAGTAATCGTAGCATTTCCCCGCAAAAATCACCGTCGTCTGGTGCCAGCAATCAAACCTTTCACATCCCCATTCCTACCATACATCACAAAGCTTCTTCGTCGGGGAACGTCTTCATCACACCGCATCACAACAACAATAGTTTCTCGTCGCAAAATACCATAGGTAGGAATCAACAATGGTTGGACGAATTGGTGCAGCAACGAAGGGTCAAATTCATACCCTACGAGGAATTCGAGGATGAGCGGATATTGGAGGAAGGTGACACAGAACACAGGACCGGGGGAACCAACGACAGAATAAAAACGGTGAGTTGGAAGAAGATGAGAAGACGTGTGGTCCTGAAAGATTTAGAGAATGTGAATGACTTGTCCGATGAGACACGGGAAGCATTTGTTAATGAGGTATGTTGATTACTCGTGTGTGGGTTGGATCGGCCGCAAAGACGATGAAATAACTAACTGTCGTTACGCGCATATGATAACAGTTAAAATTGCACCTGCAAGTGGACGTTAACGAAAAGATCATAAGAATTTCCGGTCTTAGTCAAGGTAGATCATTCAAACGTTGCTCTCTTGATTCGTTTTTTCAATCAATCAATCCCTCACCTCAACCAATTCTATTCAACAGAGGCCGAAAACAACGCCTACGTCGTCGTGATGCAATATGCTGACGGCGGTAATCTTCAAGAGTACCTGGCGAAAAATTTCAAGCGTATGACCTGGGTGGATAAGTGTACACTGGCGAAACAGATTGCCGAAGGCGTGGAATTTTTGCATCGGAATGGCATCGTTCATGGAAATTTGGTAAGTGATGAAACTCCATTAATATTCGGCACAATTCTCGCTTTACCCTAATCCCTTCCTCTCGTCTTCACGCCAACAGCACTCACGGAACATACTATTCCACCAATCTCATCCAAAACTCACCGACTTCGGCACCTGCAATCACATGATATCATCTTCGTTGGCCTATGCACATACTGAACCTCGTTACATACCTTACATCGATCCGCAATATTTGTATCATCCGAACATCTACATCAAAGACACGCGATCGGATGCGTATAGCCTAGGTATAATATTATGGGAGATATCTAGTGGTCGGGTGCCATTTGGTTCTTATAGTAGTTGGAACGCTGACGAGAAAATGGTTGACGGAAAATTCGATATTCGAGGTACGACCACTCACGAACGAGCCGAGGAGTTGACGAATCGAATAATCAAAGGCGTACGTGAACAAGCGGTACGGGATACGCCAAATGCATACTTTGGGATATACAATAAATGTTGGCAGAGCAATCCAGCGGTGAGACCGACGAGTGAGGAGGTGGTCAGAGAGTTGGAAAGATTGTTGGATGAAGGAGTAACAACGTCGATAAGTAGGGGAGTGACAGAGGATGAGAGGTCTACGGGTGAGCATTAATTTTTTTTTTTTTTTTTAGAGATGTGTTTTTTAGTTTTAACAATCGGTAAATGATCGTGTTAATTTAGTGACCCCAAAGAGATCGCGCATGTCGGAGATAGGTAGGAAGCGCTTTTTTTCTCTGATCACCATTTTCACATTAAATCGCAATTCACTCATTATAATCGTGTTGTTGCGCACATAGACTTGGCAGAGCTTCGAAAAGATGCTTTTGCTGCTGAGATGTGGTTGCATTATCAAGGTATTGTTGATATTTGACCTTCCAGCACAGGGTAGAGTTCGTTCGTCTTACGTCATACCTTATTTTTTTAGAGGTTGCCGAGAAAACCGGAAAAATCTTCAGCTTGAGTGATTTTCTGTCGAACGGTAAATATACAACATATTATCATGTTTGGATGGATGCGAATATAAAGATTCATGGATGAGCATCAGTAACAGATTTAAATTATTCATTCGCGAAAATCAGGTGACAATGATGAATCCGATTCGACTACGGAAGAAAATGAACAAAATGGAGGTAACGTATATATCATCGGACATGATAATTGCGCGTGAATGACGATTATTGAATGGCCGCTTTTTCGAATGTGATCACAGTTGACCAGACTCAAGATAATCCGCCGGAATTAACTAGAAATTTTCAAAAAAATCTGGTGAGTGCGTTTTTTTTTTTTTTGGTGAAATAACGTAAACTCGACAAAGCTAATTTGGGACCAAATGTGAAAATGTAGAGCAATGACACATATCAGAATCCGGTGAGCAAGAAATGGAAGAACAAAGCAAGATCATTAGTCAAGAGGTTTTCTGGCCGGGTAAGTTTCTCATATCATTCAATTTCTGATTGATCACAAAATCAGTTTTCGCGCTTATATTTACTAATTTGGAATTTTTAGAACTCCAGATCACAAAGAGTTTCAGATGAGATCGAATCTGTGCGCAATAGCGAAGGTACGAATTGTTCAATTTTATAGGTCATAGGCTGACTGAGGAAAAACGAAATAATGTTTGAACACCTCGGTCGTAAACAGATGTACATTTACCACATATATCTACATAATTTACTCAAGAATGTCAATGAACGGCGGAATTTCGGTTGAATGGTTTTTTCGGCGAGTAGGAGTATGAGATGGAATTAACCGGTTTTAGGCTATTTATAGAATAATTATTTAATTCGCGTTACATTGCGCAATAATTATATATAACAACACTGATAGACCAATAAATATGCAAGATATATATATATTTGTGTTGAAATCATATATCGAGTTTCGGTCGGAAGGCGAAAGTGACATAAATGGCGTGTTGATGAGGACAAATCATAACCTCGAGTTTTATTCGACATCTTCAATTCCGGAAAAAAAAAAATCTTTATACGAAGTAGGAATTCATAAACCGTCATTTAATTTTGAATGATGGGAGAAATCATTTTCCTGAGCATGGATCAAATTTCATCTGACTTGAAAATTTGATTGGAATGACAAATTTCTATATAATCACGAGGATCGAAATTATTTAGCGATTCGATAATGCTTGTGCGTAAAGAATGCAGTTGAAAAAAACGGAAACATATCTTTACTTATTTATTATCATTGTTATTTTGATGAAATCATTTTTAGATGATGATGGTTCAGGCGAAGAGAATTTATCTGTTGGATGGACCATAATAAGTCGAGGTTAATGTACATCCCTTATTGATCAATCATCGGTATTTACAATCTTGGATTGTTCTTTCTCAATGGATTTTTTTTTCTTTTATTTTTTGCTTAAAAAAAGACGAATTTGAAAATTATGAAACAAATTCATCAAATAAAAACGCGAGTTTGGGTGAGAAAATTGAAAGAATTTTGTTCCTTCCCTACTCTAGATATATGTAGTAATCGAATGTCACTTGTGTTTAGGTAATTTAATGTCCCACAATAGCAGTCTGAATGCAGTCACAGAGACGGACGTGGCTGGTCCTTCTTTGATCGAATCTCATATTGATGGAACGTCGAATCAATGTAAATTTGAAATTTATTTCGTTTGACTTTTTTTTTTGCTTTCGATTCATGTAAAGAAATTTCATCAGGATTCGCATTAATCTGTATTCAACTCTCAATCCTCGAACCACCGCTCTTGCCAAATTATTAAGATGTATACAGCGACCATTGTAAATTTTTATTTTTGAGGAATCAATGGACTTTGAATTCGCAAAGGTGCTTTGCGGCATACCATGCAAGAGTCGGAGATTTGGAGGGTATCAGGTGGCATGTCAAGAATGATGGGGATGAGGTTCTGGACAATGTTCAGGAGATCTTGGGTCCCAGGAACAGGTGAGGCATTGTCGGAACAATTGCGCTTAACCCATCGCTCATGGTGTTTCTTTCTGACCTTCATTTTTTCGTCGCGATAATAAAATCGGCAGCTATCGTAAGCCTTTGGAACCTCTGGTGATAGAGGCCACGACCTACTGTCCAGCTCGTTTACTTCTTCCAACCTACACCCTGCTCGTGAATCTCGGAGCGAATATTCACTCGATCGATTCATACACCTCTGGCACGTGCATAAATTTTCTCGCTACAAACACCTCACTCCTCTCAGATCCCCCCTCGAGTACTCACTCGATGTTTACCACGTCAAGTTCTCCCAACGGTTATTATTTCAGACAGTGTTTGACATTCTTGCTTTCAAGAGGTCTGGACATAAATTCTCAGACGATAACGGGTGACACCTTGCTCACGTCACTGATATTCAGATGGCACCCGAACCTAACGCCAGAAATAATCGAATTCTTGATAAAAAATGGTGCCAATCCGAATTTGGCAAATAAACGCGGTGGAACTCCGCTTGGATACACGCTGCTGGCCACAAGATTTGAAAATGATGGCGGTCCATTTAAAAAGGTCTACAGGATATTAAACATGTTGATCGAGGGTGGCGGGGATATTAATCAAGAAACCGTGATACCTGGCCGGAGGATGAAGAATTTGTTATGGGTGCTGGTCGATGTCAGCGTGAATTTGAAGATCGAAGAGCAAAGGAAAACACTGGAGTTGTTACTGGAACGGGGAATAGACGTGGGAAAACTGAAAGGCCGAGAAGAGGAAAGCGGAATTTTCGGAAATGAGGTATTCGGCGGCTCCATGGAAATGACAGGGGAACACGATGAATACGAAGAATTGATATACAATAGCCCCACTGATGTCTCATCACAAGACGAATTCTTAGGTGTCGGTGTTGGAGAGCTAGAAGAAGAAGAAGATGATGATGATGACCTTTACTACGATATTGACGCGGGATCAAAACCACGGAAAACAAAGCGCACGATGAAACCACAGACCTCGGCCACCAGCGCGACGCAACAAAAAGCATCAACTTTAAAATTTCCATCGTCGCAAATAAAAGCACGAACACCGTCGACTTCATTAGCCACGCATAACATACCTTTATCATTATTGAGGCCACATAGACGTACTTCATCACAATCAACACAAACATCACCAACTTCTCCGACGTCAAATTATCTGATTAACCCATCGCAGATTGATCTGGCAGCTTCACAAAGGGAATCTCGACCCGTACCAATGTTTATCCCTCCAAAACCTTTAAACGCCATGGTCTATGCTGTACAGTTGAACCGGTATGAAATGGTGAAAATTCTGTTGGAGCGTGTTTACGAATTCAGTGAAACAGAGAGTGTATTGGATGCATTGAAAGAATGTGGAATTTCAAATTACGAAAGTTTTGGTCATAAGAAAAGTAGCAGCGGGGGAAATATAATTACCGGATTATTCGGGAACGCTGGATTCCGAAGGCAGGCAAAGAGATACGGTGGACATAGTGAGATCATAAAGTATTTGATGACTTGGGCTGGCGACAATGATGACAAAAGGAAAAAGGTGCTGTCAAAATCGGAAAAGGCGAAATCAAGATGGAAGAACAATGTCGGGAGGGAAGAATCATTCAAAGGAAAAATGGTGGAGAGAGAAGTGGAGAGAGAGAGAGAAATAAACTTTGAGAAGTTTACCGGTTATGAGAGAAAAAGTTTGGATGAGAGGCCGCGAAAAAAGAAAGTTAATTTTGAAGAAAAGTCCAAGAGTCTATTATAACTTTAGAATTTAAAAGCACTCCAGCATCTGTCCATTTTCTTTTTGTCAATTCCATTCTCTGCATTTATAATCGTTCATTGAATTTGCATTATATTTATATTTTTGCCTCATCAGCAAAAACTTTTCATTTTGAATATCTTTACAAAAAAAAAATATAGTCATAAAATTTGTAGGGATACATTAACACAGTAATGTATACTGAGTGCAATGCATATTCCCTATCAAAATTACTCGAATTAATTTATTTTATTCAAAATACATACTGAAATCATCTTTAAATTATTTTTCGCATACAAAATCTAAGGGAATAAAATAGAATCATGTTGGTCGCGATTAAAAAAAATTTTTGAATTTTGAATCTCTGATATGTGTCGGCTAAAAAAAATTAATAGTGAGAATCATCGAGTCAAGTGACATAAGTCTTGTAATTTGTCGCGAAATAATTAAATTCTCGAAAGAATATTTTGATGTCGTTTATTTTGATTTCAAATTTAAAAATTACAAAATTGATGTCTTCCCACTGTTTTTTTTTAAATAACAGGTTCATAGTTGAGTTTTCGAAAATTTTTAAATTGCTAATTTTACATGTAAAAAAATTATTATTATTATTATTAAAACTTTCTTTGTTTAAAATTTGCATGTATTGAAATTAATAATAAATTAAATTATTAAAAACATGTTTTTTAACAAATAAATTCGAATTAAAAAAAAACGCATTTTTTTTTATTAAAAATTTTATGATTTAATAAGATAAAATATAATAAATTTGAAAATTTGAAGATTATATAAAATTTTATTTTAAAAATATTTTGATTAAAAACTGGATTCGATTTAATATAAATTGTTAAAAAGATTTTTTATAATTATTAATTTTCATATTAAAGCTTGCAAATAGAAAATAATAATACATATTGTAAAAAAACAAAAAATAATAATAATCTTTACAAATCAAAAATTATTATTATTGTTGTTGTTGTTGTTGTTATTATTATTATTTCTATCTATTTGTTTCTTTTACTTCTTTTCTTTTTCTTTTTTTTTATACCAGAAATAAATATTAAATATAAAATTCAATTTAATAAAAATTTTTTATAATTATTATATTAATAAATTTATCAAATAAAAAATATTGTAATTTTTATATTTATAATTTTTATCTGATTTTATATATTAATAAAAATATAAATAAATTGTAACTCATTACAAACAAACTTTTAATATTAACTTATATAAATAAATTAATAAGTTTTTTTTTTGAAGGAACAGACAGTTTTCATATGTTATTTTTATTTATACTTTTAGACTTGCAGTATAAGATTTATAAATCTATAGTATAAAATATGTCTTTCTTTGTCAAGAAGAGTTAAATGCCAGGCTCAACATATGTAATCCTTTCATTTAAGCTCCTTAGCACCATCCAAAAATATAAAAAAATAAAATTTAAAACCTATATTAAACCTTGAATAGCATTTAGTTGCCTAGAGAATTTTGATTACCTAATTATATACAGGTGCTGCAGTCACTATATACAGATTGGTCTTCAAGTTCTAACTAGAATTGGTATATTTGCTTTTCAAATATGACTTGATATACAACAAGTGAAGAATATGTTCCACCTTAAACTTTACCTAAATAACTTGCTCAAATAGCTAAATAGTCGCTACCTTGATTAGAACATTCAATGGAGATTGGCTTTTTATCTGATTATCTAGTATTTAATCTTTTTTATTCTTTTAGAATTGCAGCAAGTTACAGGTTACCCAAGCTTGTGACAAATAGAAAAGGAGACAGTTATTCTTTACAAGAAGCTTTATACATATAGTCACATTACTTAAGCATTTAGATAAGATTTAATACAAGTATAAGATAAGAAAAAATAGAGAAAAAATATTGGACATATATTGATGATTATTAAAGAAAGTTATCAGATATGATGGAAATAAAATTTCTTATAGATGTTGTTACCTAACCTTGCATACCAAAACCTGTATTGTCAAAGAAATAGGTAAAGAACTTTTATTGTCGTCACTAGTTTATGTTGTAGGAGTAACTAAAATTCCTGATTTTTATATATTATTCTATTATGCTATCCAATTACCAGTATAACACCTATCACCAAACTGGTTGCATTGATATTAGTTGCTATTTCAGCTTTGAATACTGTAGGGTGCAACTTCTTAAAAGCTTCAGATAATAATAATTGTATATCTATTTTTTAGATATACAGTGTGAGTCATAAATTTTTGGAATTGGTTTTTTTAATATAATTTTTTTAATAACTATTTAAATATTATG